TTTTCAGTCTATTTGTGGTCCTTTAGTGTCTTTTTTAGGGTTTGTTGAAATATCACAAAGTTTTTCAGTCTATTTGTGGTCCTTTAGTGTCTTTTTTAGGGTTTGTTGAAATATCACAAAGTTAATTTTCCCAATTGAACTGATTATCACAAATGAGTAGTTCAAGGACTGCAGGAAAGTTGATAATCTGATGTTTTTTTCTGTATTTATGGTGTCTGTCTCTGATGAATGGTGTAATTTTGGTGATTTTCTTTAATAACTTTTTCAAACCAGGGACAAACGTGTTTCACTCTGTAGCATCTTTTCTAATTGATTAAAGACTCCATATCCTCTAATATGATCAATAACAGCAGCTTGTCTCACCTGTACAGCTTAAATCTTTATCTATACGTTCTCTGCAATATTACAAAACAACATTTCACATTATAACAACATAAACAGTGTATTTTTCTACGTATTAAATAGATTTTTTTGTTGCAATAACGTGAAAATAACGTTGCTTTAACGTGAAAAAACATCATGTATTAGCAATTAAACTGATCAATTTTGCTTTATTTTATTTTTTTTAAAAAACAACTAATCAAAGAAATTCGACTTTCAGGATTTTCTGAGTTTTAGCTGCATCAGGACATTTCCCAGTCCTGTTTCCGTAGAGATGCAGGATTTTAAAACCACTTTAATCAAACCTCTGATCCTGGAACTGAATGAAGCTGAACTCCGGATGAGAGCCGTGATTATCGCGGTCGAGCGGAGGACGCTGGAGGTTCTCGTGCGGCACATGAAAGGTCTTTGCAGGGAGCTAATGAGACTCTTTAGGTTCTATTAAATTACACGGCGTGTCGTATCAGAGCTCGGGTTTAAATGGGATTTAAGCTGAAATCCTGGAGGATCAGGAGACGACACACTTCCACTGCACTCGCTTTAACCTCCTCCACGCATGCATTTCAAGATATCGATGCTTGTTTTAACGTTTTTAGACTTTTGAGGCTGACAGTGAACTGTGTGGAAAAAAAAATGTTCAGAAACTATTGTCTTATGTGTTTTTTTTAATATAAATTATTATCAGTGGCAGCAGTTTATTCATAAACAGAACCTTTTTACAAATCGTGTCTTTTTTTAAAATTTACTGTATTTATCTTATTTCTGATCTTTTACAATCGTTGTTTTGCTCCATTTTACGATGAGAACATTAGAAAGTGAACTATAAATAAAGTTTATTATGAAGAAACTGGTGAAATAAAAATATCTCCGTCATAATTTCTATTTGGCTCTGTAGATACGTAACTTATCAATATTTATCATCTGTTCTGATCAATAACAGCAGAATCTCAACATCCAGCATGAAGCAAATCATGTAAATAATCAATTTTACTCAATTTATCAAATTTTTGGCACAATTCTAATGTAAATTTTCACAATAAGACAACACAAACTTTTTATTTTATATATAAAAATTGCAAATTACGAAAGAATTTTGTTTCTTTGAAAAAATATTTAAAAGCTACTCCATGAAAAAAAATATTAAACTTGAAGAAAACCTTTTTTTTATGTTTATTAACTTACAAAGTGTCTCATGTTTAAAGTTTTGGTTTTTAAGAACAAAATAAAAAACATTTCCTTTTAAATAGGGTGGAAATCTGGCTAATTTTATATTTTTTGTTGTAAAAATGTTAAAATAACAAGAATAATATGAGTGTGGCAGAAACACTCTTGATAAATAAGGATCTATTAAATTAAATTATTCAGAAAAAAAAGTGTGGTTTTACTCTACAGCTAAAAAATAAACTCGCTTTTTGACAAACTTCTTGATAAATCACCTCATAACCAGAATTTGCATTTCTGCATTCAGTCATTTCATTTTTAATAAGACTAATTTATTAATTTGGCACCTGAAGACGACAAAAAAACTGTTTCAGCAGCTCGAGGATGTGAGTTTACTGGAGCGCCGCAGCTCCTGACGGCTTTATTAGGTCGGAGAGCATCGCTCTGATGAATCTGTGCGAGGACGAGGAGGAGGAGGAGGAGGAGGAGGAGGAGGAGGCCCGTTAAAACAGACGAGCTGCTCGGGACTCGTCGTCCTGCGCGAAATCACTCGTCCCGGCAGCCGTTTTATGGCGGCGCTGCTTTATGGTGCTTTTACTGTGGAGGGGAAAGCGAGGAGGGTTTGTCATGACGAATGTCTGAGAATAAAAGTGTGGCAGGTCGATCGGACGATTAGAAAGAGAAATAGGTGGAAGACGACACCACGCAGCTACGGAATGGAAGGAAAGAGTGTTTTAAAGATTAGGAATTAAGAAAAATGCATCTTATTGTGAAAAACAAATGCTCATCAACCGTCTAACTTCTGGTCTGTTGCTGTTTTTTTTTTTGTTAAAGTGATTAAAACGTACAGTTTTACTTAAAATGAGATCAGCCGAGGAGACGCTGCTGTTTAGGTGACGTGGAATTTATTTGTTTCATTTAACTTTTGCTTTAATTAGGTCTCAACTAACTGAATTCATCTTATTGTGAAAAAAAAATTGCTGATCAATCATCTGAAACTTGCTGTTGGGTAAAAAAATAATTAAAAGAGCAAAACATCATTTATGCAGCTTCAAATAAAGTTTAGGTGAAGGGAAATATAGATATATATATTTTTGGGCATTAATTTAGGTTCCAATTAACTGAAATTGTGTGATTTTTTTTAAAAAATAAAATTGCTCATCAACCATCTAAATTTTTGTGTTGGTGCGATTAAAAAAAAAATTTAAAAAAAACGGTTCCAAGAGTGAAATATGCTGCTTCACAGGCGCTAACATGCAATAAAATGTGATGTTTTTTCATTTATTATAAAATAATATCAATAACATAAATAATAAATATTCTAATAATTGTGCTATGTATCATATAGAAATGTTGGAGAGGAACTGTAGTCTAATAAATAAATATCATTAAGTACGTTTAGCCGTTTATTTTGCAGCACTTGTTTTCCTATTTTTCTCAGTTTGTCAGTTTCCCACATCTCAAATAAAACTGAAATAATTTCAATGAATCTTTACGGGGTTTCCATATGCAGCATGTTTAAATATATAAAACATCAACCAGCTTGACTCCAACAGGACAAATCACTTCTTCTCTCCTTTTTCTGGAGTTTTCTTCCAGCTCCTGCAAACTTGTGAGATGAAGCTCTGCTGAACAGGCGATACGTTCCTGTCCAGTATTAAAGTGTTCTTTTGGTTTGTTTTTTTCTTGAAGCAATTTGTTTGAGTCGAGCAGCTCGGGCAGACAGAAAACTCAATTTGGAACGACGAGGAGGAGACGTCGGGGGAACGGAGTGTTTGGAGGCCGGCGGGCTGCAGAGAGTTTGTCTGTTTCAGAGCGTCCGAAGCAGATTAATGTGTTTGTGCTCGTCTCCATCGCCACAATTTACCGACGACAAACTTCTCAACATAAAACTCTGCTGGAGGCAACATTAGTTTGAGAAAGAGTCTCTCCACTGCTGCTTTAGATCTGTTTGGTTCTCGCTGTTTCATTTAGTCTGGAACTTAATATTTAAACGAGGCAGGTTACTTTGGATGATTTACAAGATAAAGATGCAAAAAACCAAAATATACACAAGCACTAGTTCTGCTTTTGAACAGATTGACTTAAGTAGGAAAACTAAGTATAACATCTAGAAAAATGGATATTGCACAAGGCTTTTAAACCGCAAAATATTCATAATACCCTGATATACCTGAATGATTATATATGATATAATATCACTGGTTCCTAATTGAAGTCACTTGGATAAGGTTGTATCAAGACGTTTCAAATTAACTCAAATTAATCTGAGAAAAGTTCCAAATAAATTGGTTAAAAC